TTAGAGGGGGACTGAGCCCGAGCAATGATTTTCCTTTCCTTCCTTCAAGCTCCCTCCTAGCTCTCTCCATGGATATTTCCTACAGCTATTAGCTCCAGAACCAGATTTCTGAAACAGAACATACCATGGTATATTGGGACTAATTATCTTAATTCTGCTTCCTAAAGTAGGATGTATTTCAATAACATTAATGTGACAGGATAGTGTGTGGGTAATGATGCCAATTCATGGCATCCATTTTTTTTTTTTTTTTATGTGCTTGTCGTGACCCATCTGTAATCAGGGCAGGAGAGAAAGAGCACACATTTTGTATTCCTTCCCCATATTTTTCCAGCCCTGATTCAGCAGAGTACTTAGGGGTGTGTGTGTCCCAATCCATGTGCCTGTTCTGCTACAATACCTTGCTGAATTGGAGCCTTCAATATTGTTCACAACTGGGAAGATTTTTTTTAAATTCTGACTTGAATTCCCCATGTTCTACAACTTGAGAGTTGTAGAGGCTGGAAAGTGTAATTTTGAGGGTGTTTTGATTTTGTTTGTATTTTACACTTAGTGACCACTCCACTTCCTGCAATGCCTTAAAGCCCTGACTTTTGTAATTTTAACTCGCTTTCTGATTTTCTTCCCCTTCCTACCTTCATTGTTTAGTCCTTCTGTTTCTTTGCAGCCTTGATGACTTTTTCCTGAACTATTTAGAGCAATTTTGTTTGCTCCAGACTTGTTTTATCCCTTGAAGAATTCCTGCAGCTCTGGATGTTCTGGCAGCCGTAGCTCGTGGCCACCCCAGCTGTTGTGAGAATTTTTGCCGTGCTGTAGTTGGATTTCACAGATACATTCGTGGAGGTTGTGGGGCTTTTTGTTTTCAGTCAACCCTCAGCTGTATGGCTTTGCTTTAACTACTCTCCAAATTATATTATTATTCTTTTCTGACTACGGATGTATTGGGCAGCATGCACTTAAATAGCTTGTGGTAGTAACGGAAGGACATCCGATTTGCTCAGTTCGATAGCACTGTATCTGAGAGAACCTTCAGCAGAAATCTTCCAAAACCCTTTTTGCTGTGTAAGAAAGCTGCTTCTTGCAGACCCAGAAAGTGTCTGTTAGCTGGTTTTCAAAGTTATATTCAGTGAACACACTGCGTGGTTGACTCTAGGTTCGCCCTCCAGCAGATGCCTGTGTCACTATGTCATCCATCAATTTAGACATAAACCATTTAATTATAGTAGGAGCTTTCAGAAAGGTTTCTACCCAGGCGGCCACTCTGAAGGTTAAGCTGTTGCCCAGGATGGTCTGAAACTTGCTGCCACGACGATTGCAGTTTCCAACCTGACTGGCAGCGCCAGGAACTGAAGTGTGGTTTCTAATAGAGTTTGATTCATATTTATCCTCATAGTGATACTTCTAATGTTGCCAATCTACCGGATAACCCCCAGCTCAGCTGTCAAAGGGAAAGTGGGTTCAGTGTGTTGCTCTGCAAAGGCATATTTTCTGTATTATTTATGGAGCTCCTCCCACTAATATGACTAGCTAGATTATCTGTACGGCTGTACTTGTTCTGAAACCACTATTGATTAAATGCTGAGATGAAATTTTTTTTAGAAGCTGTCATTGGAACATGCTTAGGCTGCACTTGCTGTCAGCTTAACAGTCATGTTTCTGTGTCTTCCTCTAAATTCCTCTCCCAGCTGGGCTCTTTCATATCTTAGCATTAAAATAGATTCTTCCTAATTAGACAGATCTCTGTCATGATAATCATCTTGAGAACGTATGCTGTATTTTCATACTGCGTATCTTTTCACAGATCAGGCCTGCACTTTATAATTTTTCAAAATCGTAACTCACTGAATAGATCCTTTACCAAGCAATCATCTCCTGTAACTAGTAATTAGTGTCCTGTCAGCTGATATCGGTAGGCATTAGTGTTCAACTGCTGGCATCAGCAAGTTCATCTTACATCACTTAGAATTCTGATATATTTGATTCTTTTGAAATTCCAGTTGTGAAGATAGGTTTCTAAAGCTGATGTGCAGGGGAGCAAAAGAAAAAAAAAAAAAAAAAAGGCATAGAGCAAATACACACATTTGTGCATGTGTAGTAAATTACTATGTAAGAGGCGAGTGTGCATAAATCCACAGTCATAAATGTAAGTGTGCGCATCTATCATGCGTGAGTCTGCTTGTGTCTGATCACAGGACAGAGCTGTTTGGTCAAGGTTGTGAAGAGCATCTCTTTTAATGGCAATCATCAGTAGTAGAACAACGCTGACATCTCTCCGTTTCTTGCATTGCTCAGGGTATAATCTGAGGGGGTTTTCCTATTTTTATTTATTCAGACTCAGTGGCTTAGCAGAAGTGTTGTCCTTCACCAAAATTGAGTTTAAGAAGTTTCCTAAATAGCTCATTTTTGCCTTAGTTTTTTCAGAAGCTGGTTATTGTTTGTGTAAGTCTCCTTAAAATAAAAGCAATGCAAAAATGAACTGTGAAATCTTACCTCTATTATGCTGTTTTACAATTGCCATTCAATACTTGGGTTTAAAAGAAAACTTTCCTGCCAGGTGAAAATTTTCAGTTAGCTCTTTGGTGCTGGATGACAGCTGTAAAATAACTTTTTTTTTTTTTTTATGAAATGCTGATTCTATTGATTGTTTTTTGATATAGGAGATAGTGCTTTGTCTTATAAAAGGTTGTACTGTAGAATAATGCAAGTATCACCACTGTTGCTGTGAAAATGAGTAGGGAAATGGAAGGATATATATTTGCTCAGCTTTGTTTTAATCCCAGCCAATTAAAAAAATATATTTTGATCAGAACCAACCATTTTTAGAATGTGTTCAGATGTTTTTTTCACAAAGCCAGTGATTCATCTGTTTGCAAAAGTTCTAACACTAAGCACTGGTTACTACAAAGTTTGTTACTCAAATCATCACCCCTGGGCTGTGCAGCCTGGCAGAACCAAGGTACGTAGCTGAGAGATAAAAAATCCCTACATTTTTATTGGGCTGGAATTTAACTCTATAACAAGCCACCATGCACTTAAAAAATAGCATGTTTGCTGCTAAAGTGACATACTGAAAGTTAAGGTATGTTTCTGTGACTTGATTGAAAAATGGTATTTATCCTTCGTCGTAGAAAAAGAAGACAATTTTTATAAAATGCACCACACAGCAGTCTGTAAAAACAAACTAAAACACTGCTTCTACATGTATTTCTGACTCGATGGGTATAAGAAACGTTTCTTTTTGCGGACTTGAGTGCTGTTTGGGTCTGCACATCCTTTCGAGTGGGGCTGCCGGCACGCAAGCCGGCGGGCTGCAGGGGGCACTGCGGAGGAGCCCAAAAAGTACTTTTTCCAAGTTAAACCTAATTCACAGCTGTCTCAGTTCTGGCCTGCTGACACTTTCCATTCCAATTAAAAAAAAAAAAAAAAAAAAAAAAAGTCAAATAAAAAAAAAAAAGCCCCCTCCTCTTTTTTTTTCCCCTCTCAGTTCTTACATTCAATCTTTTCATATATATTCCTATACAACCAACTAGTACTGTTGTCCTGTGGAGACAGATGGAGAGGAATAGTTGCTGAAGAGGTTACAACACATCCCCCGGCTCCAGATTAACAGATACTGATGTAAACGTTTGTAAACGATGCGGGATTTGCCGTTTCATCTCGCTCTTGGGCTGCCTCTGAGCAGAGCTTTCATTTTTCCATTTGTTTCGTGCTAAAGTAGTGATCAGTGATCATGAGGAACAGTAAGTAGCTTCACTTCGGTTCTCAAATTGATACTAAAGAAAAGTTTTAAGGGGTGGGGGGAGACATGCTCATTAGTCCCAATGCAGGGAAGGTACTAACAACTGATTTTATTTGTCCACTATTATTTTCCATCTCAACATAATCAGGAACTGTTGCAATAGGAAAGAAATTTAAACCAAATTTCATGCTGCTGAACAATTAAAGAAGACAAAGCCATCTCTTTACTCCTGTCAATAGCTTAGAAATAGTGTCCTATGCTAATCTGCCATGGCAGAAATGAAGATGGTTTAAATCAGATCTCATGACTAATGTATGAGTGCCCAATTTTCTTTATTTCCAGCTGCACGTTAGAGAACAAGGGTGCCTCTCTGAGATAGTTGTTTTACATAGGTGTATTTAAAAAAAAAAAAAAAAAAAAAGGGAAGAGCATAGCTCCTAGTGCTAGCTAGAAAACAACCCTCAATTAAAACTGTGCATTCAACAGCTTTGTCTGCAACCCGGTTTGAAACGGGGGTTCCCGGGATGTTATTCTCGACCCACTAATCCCCCGCGCTCTCCGTGGAGGCAGCCACCGGCTCGCTCGGAAAAACGTCCCTGCCCGCCGTGTCATGTTTCTCTCCTCTTGTTTAAAATGGAAAGTCCAGCGCGGTGGCGGGGAAGGGGGGGGGGGGGGGGGGGGGCGCGGATGCTCCGCGCTGCCCCGCCGGTCGTTACGCAACAGTTAGTTGACACACGGAGGGGAAGCGCGGCACACGCCGCTCCGCGCCCCCCCACCCCCCCCCCCCTTTCTCCGCGACCCCGGAGGGGGGTTCAGGGCAGTGTGTGTATCCGTGTGTCCGTCCCACCCCGCGCACAGAGGGCGGTGCGTGGGGAGACTCCCCCCGGGGTGTGTGTGTGGGGGGGTGGGGGGGCGGCAGGTGATCCCCTCCCCACCTCCGTGCCCCCCGCGCTGCCCGCCCCGCTGCCACAACGGAGCTTAATCGGGGGGGGGGGGGGGGGGGGGGGGGGGGGGGGGGGGAGCGGAATTGGGGAGCGCCATGTCCGCTCCTGCGGGGCGCCGTCCGTGCCGGGTTTTGCACCTTGTCCCCGGGCCGGCCCGCCCGCCGCACGGCCCGGAGCCGGAGCCGGAGCCGGAGCCGGAGCCGGAGCCGGAGCCGGAGCCGGAGCCGGAGCTGGAGCTGGAGCCGGAGCCGGAGCTGGAGCTGGAGCCGGAGCCGCCGCCGCGGTGTTTACTGAGCGCTCCTGGGCTGGTATCACTCCGCTGGCATGGAGGAGGAGGAGGTGGAGGAGGAGAAGAGCGTTTGATCATTGTGATGGTGGCAGGAGGAGCAGCAGCAGCAGCAGCGAGCAAGGCAGAGCAAAGCGTTAGGCTGTATCAGCTCGGCGTTTTGCAGAGACTTCAGAGCTCTACTTTTTTTCTTTTCTTTTTTTTTTTTTTCTTTTTTTTTTTTTTTTTTTTTTCCTCCAGCTCAGCCCGGATTGTTCATGTGTTTACTTCCCCCAGCCCGAGGATTTGCTATTTAGGTTCCTGTTGAAATGCAACTGAGCAGCCAAAGTACTTTGCGAACACGGTGCGGCATAAACACCAAAACTTTTTTCTAGAAGGAAAATACAATAAGAAAGCGGCTTTGCCTGTCTTTTGATGCCGGGGAGTGCGAGTGAGTGTGCCGTGGGTGCCCGGCGTGTGCCTGTGCTTGGATGTGTGTGTGCGAACGTGCGTGTGCACGGGGGGGGTGGGTGGGTGTGCGTGTGGAGGGGCGCGTGTGTTTCTCTTTATACATGGGGAGAGAAGGCTTTTGGCAAAATCTCCGGAAATCTCATGGAATCTATTTTGAAATAATGGATTATAAAAAAGAAAAAGGAGGAAAGGAACTGGTCTGATATCTCCTGGAGTTTGCTACCCGAATTGCTGCTGCTTAGTTTGTTGAGCTTTTTTTTTTTTTTTTTTTTTTTTGTGTTTGTTGGTTGTGTTGCTGGTGATAACCTTTTAGCACCTTCTCTCTTTATTTCCCTCCCTCCCCCCCTCCCTCTTTTTTTTTTTTTTTTTAATGTTTTGGAGCTTCTCGAGAGGGATTGGCTGGGGGAAAAGAGAAACATTTGCTTGGGATCGCTGTTTCCCTGATACATGGTGGTGCCCCCTCCCCCCCCCCCCCCCGGGTTCTCTAAAAAGTATCCCATCAGGACCCCGGAGGAGACTGTGTGTGTGCGAAGGGTAGGGTAAAAAGTTCTTCCAAAATAGTGTGCCCGGGGAAGAGGATGGGGGATTTTGCAGCCCCCGCTGCCGCCGCGAATGGCAGCAGTATCTGCCTCAACAATAACCTGAACAGCAGCCTCGGCGGGGCCGGTATCGGGGTTACCAGCGCTCCCCACGGTCCCCCCGCCGCCGCCGCTCCCGGTAACAATGCCGCGACCAGCGGCGGCGTTCCCAAGCACAGCACGGTGGTGGAGCGGCTGAGGCAGCGCATCGAGGGCTGCCGGCGGCACCACGTCAACTGCGAGAGCAGGTACCAGCAAGCCCAGGCGGAGCAGCTGGAGCTGGAGCGCAGGGACACCGTGAGCCTCTACCAGCGGACCCTGGAGCAGCGGGCCAAGAAAACGGGCAGCGGCGGCAAGCAGCAGCAGCAGCAGCAGCAGCAGCAGCAGCAGCAGCAGCCGCCGAGCAAACAGCAGCAAGATGCCGAGCCGGCCGCGGCGGAGCAGAGGAACCATACGCTGATCATGGTAAGGGGGGATGCGGGGAGGGGGGTGTCGCTGTCCGCTCCCAGTCTCTCGCTGGGATGAGCTGGGAGGTCGCCCCCCCCCCCCCCCCCCCCCCCCCCCCCCGTTGTTTGCCGGAGGGGGCTCGGTTCAACTTTGGCGGTGGCAGGGCCGAGGGCCAGGTTGGGCGAAGCGAGGAGGGGGTGGGGGGTGCCGGCTGGCCTCGCAACTTCTCACGGGCAGGGGCGGCGAGGAACGGGGGGGGGGGGGGGGGGCGGACAAACTTTTCTGCCCCCTCCTTCCTCCCCGACTCTTTCTGCTGCCCCGGGGGAAGAGCGAAGGAGCGGAGTGCCGGGCGTGCGCCGTGGGCTGCCGAAAGCCAGAGGAGGGTTTTGTGTGCGTGCGTGTTTCGCGACGGCTTTTCCGCGTGGGGGGGGGGGGGGGGGGCGGTGCGCGGCGCGTGCGGCTACGCGTCCGTGCGGCTTCGCTGGCCGCCTTTTTAAATCCCGCCGCGGAGGAAGGTGGAAGTTGTCTCGGCAGGAGGAAAAGTTGGGCAGGTTTCTTCCCCTGGGCTGCCCCCGGCTCGCAGGAGCCCGGCTCCCCACGGCAGCAGCAGCCCGAGCTGAATCGCTTCCTAAAGTTTCCTTGGGTTTTAAGGAGCTTAGCGAGGAGCGGAGGGGGGGGGGGGGGGCGGAGGGGGAAGGGGGCGGGGGCTGAGCCGGTAGGAGCGTAGCGGCAAGTAGGAAGCGGAGTTTCCCACTCCCAGGCTGCACCGATGATGAATAATAAAAGGAGGTGCGGGGGGAGCCGGGCCCCCCGCTCCGTCTGAGCCTTATTTATAGCAGGTCGCGGCCGCCCGGCGTGCCGGTGGGGTGCCGGCGGGGGCGAGCGGACGACCCTGCCACGGGGGGAGGGGAGGGGGGGAACACGCGTGTGTGTCCCGGCGTGTCCCACTCCCCGTGCCGTGGCGGGGCGGGGGGGAGTGCTGGGGGGTGGGTGGGGGGGCGGGCAGGGGGCAGCTGGGTCTTCGCCGTCTGCCGAGCGCACAATGGGCGGCGGGGAGGAGGGAGGGGAAGGAGGGGAGGTGCGATGGCAGCGTGTGGTTTACAAGCCTCGCACGTCCCTCCCTCTCGCCCTCCCCTGCTGCGCGGCTGTGCGGGAGGGTCCGGGAGGGCGGCAGCTGCCGCCGGCCCCCGTGGGGGGGGGGGGGGGGTCTCCGTGACAAAGCGGCGGGTAGGCGGCCGTCCCGGCGGCAGCTCTTCCCTCCCCCCCCCCCCGTCTGTGAAAGCAGGGAGCAATATGTTTATCTTGGGCCGCGCCGAGCCTGTCCTCCCCTGGGCGACAGGCGGGGGCAGCACCCTGCCCCCCCAAACCCCCCCTTCGCCCCTCCCTGCCTTACCGGGCGCTTTGTCCGCCCCCCAGCCCCGCTTCGTGACGGAGGGCGAGGAGGTGGCCATCGCTTCGCCAGCGGCAAACAAAAGCTCAGCGCCGGGCGCCCCCCCCCCGTCCCCAGTTCCCGCCCCGCCGCCGAGGAGAGGAGCGGGGGGCTACCCCCCCCACCCCCCCCCCCGCCGGAGAGCAGCCCCGGCCGCCCGGTGCATCTCCCGGGGGGGGGAGCGGGATGCTGGGCGCCTGCCGGGGCAGCGGGAAGGGCGAGGAGGGAGCGGGGCCGGGGAGCGCCGGCGGGAGCCGCACAAAGCGGCAGAGAGGCGGGGGGGGGGGGGGGGGGGGGGTGTTGCCTCGCAAACAGGAAGCAGAGAAACCTCACTGACATCTTGTTGCTTTCCTGATGTTACCAGCGAGGCACAAACCGTATTTCTCGCCCTTTCTCGCGCCTCCCCGCAGGATTTTTTTTTTTTTTTTTTTTTTCTTCAGCGCGCGTTTAACGCGGCGCTCCGCGCAGCGCGTTGCCTCTCGGCTCACCTCCCGGGGCGCTCCTGAAACTCCCCGAGCGGCGGCGGGGGGGGGGGGGGGGGGGGGGGGGGGGGCTGCTTTCCCTCCTCAAACCCCTCGTCACATCCCGTGTCGCCTTTCCCACGGGACAGTGGAAAGGGGCCGGAGGCTCAGGACACCTCAAGGCGGGGGGACGGGGGGGGGACACACACACACATCCAGCTCCAGAACTGCTCCTGCCCCTCCAGGCCCTCGCTGGCCGGGGGGCTCGTCCTGGCCCCTTCCCCCCAAACCCCAGGGCCAGGCATGAAAGGCCGGGAGCTTCAGTGAAGTGAGCTCGTTTGGTGGCCTTGCCTGGAAGATCTAGGACAGAGACACAAAGCCGTGCTATAATGTGAAAGTTGTGGAAACAAAGTAACAAAAGGAGGAAATGCAGCTCCAGCTCTCACTGTTATTAATTTGCTTCAGGTTGGGACGCTGGCAGAGCTAAGAGTAGCCTGGTTCAAGGGCAGTTTGCTATGAAATTCATCATAACCGAGTATTTGTGCTACAGTCTTCATGCTATTTAAACGTACTCGATGTGTGCTAGGCTGTTCATCTTAAAAAGAGAAATTCTAGTACTTTATAAAAAAATGACCTATTTCCATCAACTTTTTTTTTTTTTTTTAAAGAATGCGTACACAGATGTTGCTAAAAAATTTAGAAACATTATCTACTATTTCACTTGTAGAGTGTTAATTATGATTTTTGCTTGATGTCTAAGAACTTTATGGAACATTTGTGGGTACATGAAAGTAATACTTAAAACCTGAGAAAATGTTCCTTTTAAAGCCATTGAAAAGTATTTTCTTTGAGATGTTTATGCTTTTTATAGTAAGGAAAAAAAAAAAAAAAAAAAAAAAAAAAAGGAAGAGACTTCTTAATTTCTAGCAATCATAACAGTCCTGTAACTTTCTCTGTTTATATGCATAGTGATTTTTATTTACCAAAATAGTTCAACTTTATTTAACATTTTCTTCTTGCATGAGAAAACAGTAAGCTACATGTTGGGGTTTTCTCCCTTTCTTTATTCCCTGGTAAATTCCAGCTGAGATGTTTACTGTGGAACAGTAGTATGGATCTGCTACTGCTTTATTCTTCACACAAAGTCATTACTAAAATCTTCCCTCAGATTATTAAACCGCACAATTTGGAAATGAAGCAGTCAGGATTAAATGACAACAAATACAATGAGGATAGCAAGAAATACTCTTCCTAATTATTATTTATTTTTTCTTGGGGCAAATTGAAGGAAAGTACTTTTTCTGTGTGTGTGTCCGTCCCCTTCCCAGTCGAAACACCCCAAGAAGGTAGGGGAGATGTGTGCTGGGTCCAGGCAGCCCATCACCCAACAAACCCTCCCAAAAGCTGGTGCTGACACACGTGCTGAGGTGCCTTTCAGCCAGCTGGGTAAAAAAACCTCTTCAGAAGATGCTTATTTAAAGACATGCACTCTGATTTCCCTCATTTGACAGAGCACAAACTCTCCAGCCTGCACGCTGCTCCTTGCCGCCACCCCCGCAGTTTACACCCTCACCCCCCCCCCCCCCCCCCCCCCCCGAGTTCATGAAAGGGATTATGCAGTTTCCACTGTTTAGGACTCTATGTCAACTGACAAGCAGTTATCAATGGGAGCCTTTTTTCAAAAAGGGATGTAGGAGCATGGGCTTGGCTGTATTTCGTGAATTGCTGATCTACTCTGAATTTGTGCCTTGTTACAGACCAAGTTTTCACTTGCTGAATTTTAAAATATCTGGATTGATAATGATTTCAACCTCTTTTGCTTGAGGAGAACAGTGGGTTTCAGAACTAGTTTGCTCCCATGCAGGCATTGATTGGGATGTGCACAAAAAAAGCATTAAAATTGTTTATAAGTGTTTGAGAGGACTTTCCCCCCTTCCCCTAGTTCAACCTGGCAAAAGCCAGAGTTGTTTTCCATGCCTTTGAGTTGGATTATTAGAATGCTGTACCAGCTTGGTTTTCAAAGGAAGCATTGGGAAAATTTGCAGCCCATCCAAAACTCTGCTGCTCATCTTCAGACTGGTTCCAGGAAATATCAACGCATTATTTCAGTTCTTTGGTTCTTTGTGAGCTAATCTGCCTTCTTGTTTCCTCCTTTTAAGTGCAAGAGTCTTCTGGCTCTGCATCTGTGTTATTGTGTGTGGTTCAGAGATATATTTTGTGTGTGTGTGTATACATATACACATATTATATGTAAAATAAATATATTTAAAATTTATATTTAGTATATAATAAACAGCCAAATATATAATAAATATTGCAAGTTATACCACTTCTGTTTCTCATCATTGACACTGCTGTTCTTATTGTGCATTTTTTGTCATTTTTTTTTGTCCAATGAAACGCCACATCTGTAATTATCGTACCAACTTTCTGATGCAAATCTATTTGCATCTGAGCTCTACTGTGAAGTATAAAGGGGCTGGAGCTACTTTTCCCTATTTTAAAAGCTCTTAAAGACTTTTCTTATTTAGCATCATTATGGGTTTGATAGCTACCATCATAGTGACCAGTTCTAACCCTAAAACCAGTCCTCAGGAAGTTGGGTTTTAAACACCATAAACACAAAATGTTATTTAGATCACAGAAATTAGTGATGGAAGTCAAATGACCTATTAGATCATCTTTTCTGTTCCCCTGCCAAAGCATACTATGCCAATTCAGAATTAGTTTAAAGTTAGAGAAAACATGGCTGGCAAATAGAGTATTTTCCAATACTGCTTTTTACCCATTCTGGGCTAACGCACTGCCTCATGGAAGTTGATGGTCACATTGCCCTTCTACCTGAGGGAAGGGAGAGCCTTTCAGCTTGCTTTGTGTAGGGACAGAATGACATCTTCAGAATTCTAGAAATCTGGTTGTATCTCTTCCTTGTTGGCAGATATTTCACCACAGAAAAGTAGTTTTCCCCCCCCCCCCCCCCCCCCCAGTCTATCCTTTTTGTCAACAAAGGTATCCAGAGTGAAAAGTGTAACTTCTTAATTTGTCTTAGTGATTCACGGATAACGTCATTAATGAAATGTGAGTGCTGAAGAATGCTGCCAGTCTTGTGAGTAGTTTTTTAAACTTAC